TACCAATCAGGAATTGCAGTCCCAGGCTGGCACCACAAAAGGAATGGCTGGCTGGAGAGTGCAGCTTGCCACCACAACAACACCACCCTCACAGTCCCAGTAAGCTTTCCCCTTCCCCCTCCCCCAGCTTTCCAGCCCCCTGCTCTGAGTCCTGCAACTGTCACTCCCTGGCTTCAATCCTGCACCTCCACCCCATGCCAAAGCCCCACCCCCACATACTAGGGTTGCCAGATGGTTTCAACAAAAATACCAGACACACTTGACATGACATCACAATCTACATTCCATCTTATTTAGAAAATACCGGAAATTTCTATTTTCTCAATTTATTTCCCGGACAGAAAGCTCAAATACTGGACTGTCCGATTCAAAACTGAACACCTGGCAACCCTACCACATACCCAGCCCTCTGTCCTAGACAATCATGGAAATAAAGCATGTACATCTCTCTATATAAACAAGTTTTTCCTGCTGCACAACAGAATGATATCATCAGCATATATCCCTCGTATAGCTGGATACCTGTGGTGATGTCTACTGGTTAAGGAAGTACTGTAACATGTACTATATGATCAATAGACCAATTAACATTTTTTTCTATGTGGCTTCATTTGTTCACTTTTCTATATTATCAGTGCAAGATTAACTGGCTCTCTGACCACAAAAGAGGCCAGAGAGAGGGGGCTTGGCAAGCATAGTGAGCAGAGTGTTTCCTTTTGATTTAAAAATAACCCGAACGTTACTAGAGTTAAAGACCCAAGCAACACCGGATACATCTGCCAGTTTATATTCCTAAATTAAACTTCCTAAAGCATGGAGAGGGGAATCATCACAGGTACCTTTTAGTGCCTTGTGAGGATTTGTGCATCCACGTTAGTGTCCCCATGTGGGTGCAGAAAGGGGGTGCAAGGGTTAGCAGTGAAGGGTGCAGGGATTAGGGCCCCAGGAGGGGAATGCAGGGGTTAGCGCTGCTGCTTTGCACACAGGAATGAGTGGGGACAGAAGCTGGGTCAGTGGGACTGGGAGAAGGAGTGAAGCTGTTGGCAACAAGGAGACAGAAGAACAGCCTGAATTTCTCCCTGCAAAGTGGAGACGCGAAGGAGGAAGTGTGTGTGTGGAGGGGAGGAGAGTCCTGCCTACAGCTACAAGGAAACAGCAAATTAAAAGCAGAATAGGAGCAATGGATGCACTATCCCTCCTGGCTGAGTCCCACTGTTGGGCATCTGGCAAGCCAAGCTCCCCACTATAGGGGCAGGCCTCCAACCCATGTCCCTCCTTGCCAGGTGGTGCACAGCTCCAGCCTTCCCAGTCCTGGTACACAGGGAGGATGGAAGGCCCCAGACTCTGTTTGGCTCAAGTGCAGGCAGCCTTAGGATACTGGAGGAAGCTGTGCTAAGGCTCCACACAATCATTTTTTCCTCTCTCTTTACCTACTTGTCTCTCCTGCAGCTGGCAACATAAACATCAATGCCCCTTGCTTAGCAGTACAGAGCGGCAAGAAAAACATGCGTGAGACCAAGATGCCTCCACTGGAGAAGAAATGGCTCCTTCCTCTATGTCTGGATATGTGTGTGGTTGTTATGGATGGGACTAGTGCTGTCATTTTCTAAACGTCCCAGCATTCAGTAAAGGGTTAAACCCACCCCACAGCCTCTTGTCAATTCCCAGGGGGCAGCGGTGAATGAAGGAGAAGATGGCCAGGAAGATGGGGAGCCCCCCCGAGCCTCGCTCTGCCCCAAATCCCTCCTCACTGTGCTTCTGAACCAGGTACTCAGGTCCCCAGCCCTGCTCTAACCACTAGACCCCAGTTCCCTCCCAAACCCTGAGTGAGAACCCAGGACTCTTGGCTCCTAGCCCCCCTGCTTTAACCACTGGACCTAATTCTGGGATGGAAGTTGCATTTGCTCAACAGGACTGAGGCTGTGGACAGTGTTCCCTCTAAGATTTTCCTTCCATGAGTGGAGTGAGTTTTGTCTTGTGTGCCAACAATGAGGTCACTCATGCTTGTTCAGATGTGTGCCACTGTGGCACTCACCAGGGGTGCTGCTCCCTAACAGATTCTCCCAGGTAGTGCCCCCCCATCTCTTGGGGAGAAGGGATGATGCGCCCACTCCAGGGAGTGCTACTCCCTGAGCAGCGTGTGTGCAGGGCAGGCACTGTCCCAGGTTGCTCCTTGCAGGGCTGGCTGTGAGTCCCCACCTGGAGCAGAAAGAAGCTGCTGCTAGCACCCAGGATTTTCGGGGATTGAGGTGCTGAGTGACATGTGGGGAACAGGGGGGATAGAGGGTTGGGGGACAGAATTCTGAGGGGCAGAAGAAAGGTGTGGGAGGGGGGAGAGAGGTGCAGGAGGCACCAGTCCCAGGAGCTAAAGCACCACTGCCTGGCTCCAGCTTTGGGCAGCCACTCCATGGCC